AGACAAATTTAAGGTTTCAAGAAGGCAAAGACCTAAAAGAACGTTGATTTTTACCAATCATGAGTTTGTGTAAATTTTAAATCTGATGATGGCGCGCATTCGCTGAATTGAGGCTTTTGAGATGCATTTTTTAACTTTGGCGAACCAAACCGAGCGTTCGAAATTTAATGACCCCATCAAGAAACTCCCCTCGTTTAACGGCATTTTCTCAAAACGAATTTTTGCAAGTTCGTGGCAAGAAAATCTTGTTCCACTCTGTGGTGTTTCCATGCGTGGCTGTTTCACGCAAATCCGCGCTGTAGCGCGCTGTTTTCTCGTGTAATTTGATCTGGATGTTCCCGAAAACATCGAGCCCCAATCCCCAAACGAACTTTCCCAACTTCGAAGCGACTTTTCAGTGATAAAATCCCTTCAACATTAACATGCTTGTTTAATACGTTAAGGCTGGGCGGAAAGTAAATTTTCATGCTCTAATACCCTCCTCCACTAGCGAGATAAATTAATTTTCGCACGAGCGCCCTACACACTGACTCAAAATTAGCGAGGTGTGAAAGGTAAGACAACATCCTAAATAAGCCCGATTAAGCCGGCAGGGGCTCATTTACGAATCACGCCAAATATTGTTAAGCCCCTTTCGACATGGAAGTGTATTCAGCGCGGGGAAAAGTCGTTGGGACCTACCTTGGGTCGGCGAAAATATGTTCAAGTATAAACAGTCTTCGCTTTGGTTCTTCAGCAGCGGCAACAGTCTTTTGAGGTACTCCAGTCGCCCCTTGGGCATCCGCTCCAAGGCGGCAGTTTCGTTCGAAATGTTCGGCAGCCTTTGTGGGCAAACTGGGCCCATTTTATCCGACACCCGAACTCCGTCCCAGGGCGAAGGAGTTCGCGTTGGACTGAACCGGTTCGATTGGACGGGAGGAGTTGCGTAGGGCACCCCCAGAAACACCTGGAAGAAACAGTTTATAGCCCCTGTTCGATTCAATCATCGATCATGAAACAAACTACACCGGCACAAATATCTTTCACTTGACATGGACGGGAAGTCCTGCAGGGATCGAACTTCCCGAACGAAGGGTGTTTCGTATCGGCCCCAACGGAACACCTTTAATTAGAAGGGCTTTTAAGGGTCGGGGCTTTTGTGGCCAATTTATTTTCTTTTGATTGCCGATTAATGTCTGGGGAAATGTGATTTGGTAAATACCCGCCCAACTATGCCGAAGGCATTCTGAGGAGTTTTTTTCAATTTTCCAGATGTTTTTTTAAAGGAAATCCATTGTGTTCAATTAAGCAGGTGAAGCCGAAAAAGACTCGCCACCCTCATCAGATTAGAGGAATTCAGTGTTTCATAGATGGGCTGTTTCAACTGAATTATCAAGGCATAAAGTTGAAAACAGTTTCTTTAGGACAGTTTTTTAATCTTACCTCAATTGGTTTGAGGAATCGCTGTGGGTCCATCGGCACGAGCAACCCCTGTAGCCTGCCATAGCGAGTCTGCACGATTCTGGAGCTGATTTTGGCATTTTTCATGAAACTGTTATCGGCCCGGCCAACGGTGAACGTGAAGAACAAGAGCACGAGACCGACGAATCCTCTACTGGTGACGCCCATGATCGTTAAGTAGGAAACATGCTCCAACCACTGGCCGATTTGGATCGAAATGTTGGCACAGAAACTCCCGAGTTCGGAAAAAAGCAATTTTTACAAACTAATTATTCGCCGAGAGTACTTGTAGCGCGAAACTCGCTCGATAGTAATCTCTTCAGCTGGCGTCGTCTCTATTCGGTTCAAACGAGGCGTAGACATCTTGGTCTCGGACTACAATCGGGAGCCTCTTCGGCTGCTCCTTTCCTGAAACAATGGGCCAATCATTAATTCCAGTGGTCTGAGAAATACATGGGGGATTTCGATTAAGATTCAATAACCTGAGGGTATTGGATCGTATTTAGTCGCGATTATTTTGCCATTAGGGTTGCGCTTAATGGCGAAAAGCCATGAATTCGTAATGGGGCCTGAAAGTCGATTGTTTCGGTAACGGGAGCTGGGAAATGTTGTTCAACAATGCAGAAATTCGCTACCTCAGTGGGCCCAAAGATGGCCGGTGTGAAAATAAAATGCAACTATTACGTAAATCATCAATATTTAGGTGCAACTAAGAAATTTTGCACCTCAGGCCATAACTAAAACTACTTCAAATCGAAACTTTTTTGACGAAACGGCCCACATTTCTCGCATGATGCTTTGCTTTTTATATGCGCCATTTAGTTCTCTGTTCAGAGATGTAAATATGGGCGCTCGAGATCAATTTGTTCCCGAGAAATGGGCAAAAACGTGACGGAAAACTTGAACTGTTGGCTTAATCTTCTACATAAATGTCCTGACATTCAAATTTTTCATTTGAGGTCAAAACGACCAGAATTTTCCAAAGCGCGTTGTTTCAGCTGAATCGAGTTTTAAATTCTCTTTCCAACGGTGTAGAAACGAACTCGGTGGCTCAAATGGTTTCTGAGAAACGTGGAAAATGGCAGCGTCATGGTTAAGCTGATTGAGCAATTCAAAAAAGTAGCAAAAACTTCAACGCATGGAATGAAGACTTTTTTGACAAAACTGCCGGCATTTTCTAATTGATGCTCCCCGTTCTTAAAGCTCCAATTAGTTCTCTGTCCGGGAATTTAAGATTGAGTGCTGTTGCCCAATTTTCTCGCCAGAAATCAGCGAAATTGTGGCGGAAAACATGAAATTTTGGCCTAATCTTGCACCTAAATGTCTGACATTCACATTTCGCATTTGGGGTCAAAGCGGCGAGGGTTTTCCAAATCGCGTTGTTTCAGCTGAATCGCGATTTAAATTCTCTTTCCAACGATGTAAAAACGAACTCGGTGGCTCAAATGGTTCCTGAGAAACGTGGAAAATGGCAGCGTCATGGTTAAGCTGATTGAGCATTTCAAAAAAGTAGCAAAAACTACAACGTCTGGAAATAAGACTTTTTTGACAAAACTGCAGGCATTTTCTAATTGCTGCTCCAGGTTTCTAAAGCTCCAGTTAGTTCTCTCTCCGATAATTGAAAAATTAGCGCTGTTGCTCCATTTTCTCGCGAGAAATAAGCCCAAACGTGGCGGCAAACATGAAATTTTGGCATAATCTTGTACCTAAATGTCTGATATTCAAATTTCGCTTTCTGGGGCAAAACTCCTCGAA